TAAAAAAAAAAAAAAAAAAAAAAAAAAAAGAAAAGATGTTCAGCATCATTTATCTTTGGAGAATGGCAAAGTAAAAACACAACAAGATATCACTGCGCACAGAATGTGCACATTTAGAATTTTCTATTAAAAATAGAAAATTGTGACAACACCAAACAATGGCAAAGATGCACAGAAACTGGATCCTTTTTACACTGCTGGTGTATGATATACCAACTTTGGAAAATAATTTGGCAGTTTCTTTGAAAACTAAAAACAGACTTACCATGTGACCCAGTTATCTTTCTCTTAGACATTTATCCCAGAGAAATGAAGATTTATGCTCATTCAGAAACCTGTACATGAAGGCTCAAAGCAACTTGATTAGTAACAGTGAAAGAGTGGAAACATCCCTAATGACCTTCAGTGGGTGAATGGATGTGTAACATCCATACAACAGAGTGCTATTTAGCAATGCAAAAAAAATTATTGATACACACATCCACGTGGATGGATCTCAAGGGAATCATGTTGAATGAGAAAAGGATGTCCCCAAAGATTACATATTGTATTATTTCATTAAATAATAGGTTGGTGGTTTCCAGGAGTTAGGGATGGGAGGAGAAGGAGGTGGGCATAGTTGCAAGAGGGCAGTACAAGGGAGGTTTGTGGTAACTTCTGTGTCTTGACTGTAGTGGCAAATTCGTGAATCTCTAATGTAATAAAACTGGATAGACCTAACTATACACATACACACACACACAAAGAAGTGTATGTGTAACTGGTAAAATATGAAAAAGATCGGTGAATTATATTAATGTCAATTTCCTCATTGTGACATCAGATTATAGTTACACAAAATGTTACCATTAGGGGAAACTGGGTAAAAACTACACAGAATCCTCTCTATTATTTCTTACAACTGCATGTGAATCTATAATGACTTCAAAATAAAAAGTTAAATTAAAAATCATTTCTACTGTACAGTAATATTTTATTAAGTTGGGTGGTGTACACATGGGTACCCATTATAATTTACACCTTTATGTATGCCTTAAATATTTGTTTTTATTTATATTTTCCTTTCTTTTCTTTAAGTTTTTATTTAAATTCCAGTGAGTTAACATACAGTTTAATATTAGTTTCAGGTGTACAATATAGTAATTCAACACTTCCACACAACAATCAGTACCTATCACAAGTGTACTCTCTTAATCTCTATCACCTATTTCACCAATCCCCCCCCACCTCCCATTGATAACCATCCATTTGTTCTTTATGATTAAGAGTCTGTTTCTTGGTTTGCCCCCCTCTAATGTTTTCCCCTTTGTTTGTTTTTTTTGTTTCCTAAATTCCACATATGAGTGAAATCATAAAATATTTCTCTTTCTCTGACTGACTTATTTCACTTAGCATAATACTTTAGCTCCATCCATGCCATTGCGGAGGGCAAGATTTCATTCTTTTTTATAGTTAATATTCCACCATATATCTATACTGCCTCTTTATCCATACATCAGTTGATGGACACTTGAGCCATTTCCATAATTTGGCTATTGTAGATAGTGCTGCAATAAACACTGGGGTGCACGGATCCCTTAGAACTAGTACTTTTATATCCTTTGGGTTAATACCAAGAAGTGCAATTGCTGGATCACAAGGTAGTTGTAGTTTTAACTTTTTGAGGAACTTCCATACTGTTTTCCAGAGTGGCTGCACCAGTCTGCAATCCCATCAACAGTGGAAGAGGATTCCTTTTTCTCCAGATCCTTGCCAACACTTTGTTTCTTGGGTTTTTTATTTCAGCCATTCTGACAGCTGTGAGGTATTATCTTGTTGCAGTTTTGACTTCCATTTCTCTGATGATGAGTGACACTGAGCATCTTTTAATTGAGATGTCTCTTGGCCATCTGTATGTCTTCTTTGTTAAAATGTCTATTCATGTCTTCTGCCCATTTTTATTGGATTATTCATTTTTTGCATGTTGAGTCTTATAAGTTCTTTATATATATTTTGGACATGAACCCTTTATCAGAAATATCATTTGCAATATCTTCTCCCATTCTGTAGGCTGCCTCTTACTTTTGTTGTTTCTTTTTCTGTGCAGATGCTTTTTATTTTTATGAGGTCCCAATAGTTTATTTTTGTTTTTGCTTCTCTTGCCTCAGGAGACATATTTAGAAGGAAGTTGCAATGGCTGATGTCAAAGAGGTTACTCCCTATGTTCTCCTCTAGGATTTTTACGGTTTCCTGTCTCAAATGAAGGTATTTCATCCATTTTGAATTTATTTTTGTGTATAATATAAGAGGTCCAATTTCATTCTTTTGCATGTTGCAGTCCAGTTTTCCCAACACCATTTATTGTACAGACTATCTTTTTTCCATTGATTATTGTTTCCTGCTTTGTTGAAGATTAATTGACCATATAGTTGTGGGTTCATTTCTGGGTTTTTCATTCTGTTCTGTTAATCTATGTGTGTATTTTGTGCCAGTATCATACTGTTGATCACTATAGCTTTGTAATATAACTTAAAGTCCAGAAATTGTGATTCCTCCAGTTATGCTTTTCTTCTTCAAGGTTGCCAAAGCAACCTTTGATGGTTCCATAAAAATTTTGAGATTATTTGTTGTAGCTCTGTGAAAAATGGTGGTAGTATTTTGAGAGGGGTTACATTAAATGTGTAGATTGCTTTGGGTAGTATAGACATTTTAACAATGTTTGTTCTTCCAATCCAAATTTAGCATGGAATATCTTTCCATTTGTTTGTGTCATCTTCAATTTCTTTCATCAGAGTTTTATAGTTTTCAGAGTACAGATCTTTTATCTCTTTGGTTAGATTCATTCCTAGGTATCTTATTGGTTTTGGTGCAATTGTAAATGAGATAAATTACTTGATTTCTTTTTCTGCTGCTTCATTATTGGTGTATAGATATGCAACAGATTTATATACCTTGATTTTTTATCCTGTGAATTTACTGAATTTGGATATCCATTCTAGCAGTTTTTTGATATAGTCTTTCAAGTTTTCTACATAGAGTATCATGTCATCTGCAAACAGTGAAAGTTTTACTTTTCCTTGCCAACTTAGATATCTTTTTAAAATCACATTTTGTTGTCTGATTGCTGAGGCTAGGACTTCCAGTACTGTGTTAAATAACAATGGTAAGAGTGAAAATGTTTAAGTTTTTAAAAAAAGAAACAGAAAAACAACATTCTATCTATATATGGAAAAGTGTAAAACATATATGTAACCTGGAATACCTAGATGGGAGATGATGCCAGAAAAGTGGGTGAGGGACATATTATGATAACCTTATTTGCTAATTTAAGGCATTTGAACTCTGCACTGAAAGCTATGGGAAAAGATTACAAGCAGAAAAGTAACATAATCAGATACATCACAGCCACAAGACAGCTCAATGACCTTCAAATGATACACAATTTTCTCCACTGTGTCCCCTCTCTTTTCCTTATTTAGAGTCCTTCAAGTGTCAAGTTAAACGTTACCTCTCCTCTGTATCCTGTGTGATCACCACACTTTCTTTTATTATACTCATTTCCCATGTATGTTCCTTTTACTAGATTGTAATCACTAAATTTGTCTATATTTTACCCTAGGGTCCTTAGTACAGCACTTGGTCTATAGTAAGTGCTCAAAATATATTTCTTGAGATGATAAATCTGTAACTTTTTCAAGATGTACACACACACACACACTGATGAGATACTGACCAGAAAATGGTCAGGGGTAGTGTGCTCACAAAGTTAAAATGGAGCTTAAATACTGTCCACTCTTATTATGGATTTAAACCCCTCCCCCAAACACCTGAATTACTTTAAGGGTGAGTACTTTAAGGAAGGTGAAAAATATGATAATCTTGTCATTTTAAATCTCCATAAATTATAAATCAGTAAGACAAAAAAGTATAACTTGAAATTAGCCTAGGAAAAGTAAAAGCAAATAAGTTTAATTCACATTATTTTTCTTACCAATAGAGAAGTAAGGGTTTTACAACCTCAATCTGAATATTTCTTAAGTGTTCTTCATTCCACTGAGATGCATCTAGCAGTTTAAATTTTGATAATATTTCTGCAGAAAGGTAGCAATCTCCACTGCTCACTAAATAGGATTTTTTCATCTTTTCAAGATGTCTAAAATGAGACACACACACACAGTGCTACAATATTCAACAAGCCAAATGTTTTCACTTCTAAAATGTTTCAGACAAGTAATGAACTATCTCAAAACCAACACTGAATTACAGGAATAGCAATGTGAAGATAAAAATATTTCTTACAATAATGGAAATAAGAACGGTATTTTTTGTAGGTTGAACAGTGGCCTTCCAAAGATATCCATGCCCTAATTCCCAGAACCTCTGAATGTTACCTTACATCGTCAAAGGGATTCTGTAGATGTGCTTAGGATTTTGAGATTAACCTAGCTTATCCAGGTGGCCCTAATATAATCACAAGGGTCCTTCTAAGAGGGAGGCAGGAGGGCCAATCATAGAGAAAAGATGTGAGGACAGTAGCAGAGGCCATAAAGAAGATGCTATGTTGCTGGCTTTGAAGATGGAGGAAAAGCCATGAACTAAGGAAAATAGGTGAACTCTGGAAGCTGGAAAACTCTCCCCTCGAGCCTCCAGGAGGAATGTAGCCCTGCCTACCCATTTTAGACTTCCTACCTCTGAACTTTAACAGAATAAATGTTCATTGCTTTAAAAGCCATTAAATGTATAGCAATCTGCTATTGCAATAATAGGAACCAATACAGTAAATCCTGAAGAATTTATGTAGGTTGCTTGTATATATCTTCCCTAACATGTCTTGAAAGGTGGTAGTGGCTTTCCACTCCATCATCAATCTGGTCAAGGCTTCATAATCAACTGTTTGGTAACCCCTGATCTTATAAGCATGTACAACAATGAGCTATATGAACTGAATGCCATTGAAATAACTGGAATAACCCAGTCACTAGTACATACTCGGTCAAACCCTTACTGGGAATTGCAGTCTACTGTAGTTGATCTGCTTCAGAGCAGAAAGGAGAACACAGGATAAAAACTTTCTTAAAGCAGGGTCCTTGTAAGTTTCTTAAGACCTATATAATCTAAAACATCCAAACAAGGACCTGGATCCATCAGATATCTAAGAGGTGCTCTAAAGGATATCCAGTATGATAGCTAGGAGATATCTTATTCAGATATGAATGTCTAAGTGGCATCCAACTAAAGATCATGGGATTTGTTAACAGAGCAGGCTGTTAGGATCAGTAGTCTCTTACAATGGCATAAGGCACCTTTTATAAAAGGTATCTTAAGCCAGTGTGGTTATATACTGAAAAGTTATCTTTTTCTATGAAAATAAATCATGAGAATATTATAAAAACAAAATAGAATAAGGGTGCCTGAGTGAGTCCGTCAGTTGAACATCTGATTCTTGATTTTGGCTCAGGTCATGATCTCACAGTTCGTGAGATCAACCTCACATCACTGGGGTCTGTGCTGAGAGTGCAGAGCTTGCTTGGGTTTCTGTCTCCCTCTCTTTCGAACCCTCCCCTGCTCACATGCATGCACAGGCACACACATGCTCTTTTGCTCTCAAAATAAATATTCAAAAAATAAAATAAAATAGAATGACTGATTTGAAAGCAAGTTTAGAATCTATGAGGAGAAACATTATGCAAACCCAGAGCAATTGCCACTATTTGTATCTGAAAATTATGAAATCTTAGAAATAGAGAAATCAATGTTACTATAATTTAAAAAAGTAAATATTAATTCCTCTAAAAGTATAAATTACATTTTTATAGTTATTCCAGGCTTCTGTGTGTGCTTAAATGACCCAAACTAATATTCCATAATTTTCTTAAAAAAACTACTGAAAAGTAAAAAATAGACTTACCTTTGATGTCTTCCAGGGTTCTTAAGAACTTTTAATCTCTCAATATCCATCCATAACGACCAATATCTCTCTCCTAATGTACCTTTTATAAATTTCTTAAATCTTTCAAACTCTTTTCTATTGCCAATATCATAAGCTTTGTGAGAAACACACCAATCAGCCCTGCTTTCTGGTCCAATGCTCTCACTTTTTGAACTTGCTTGTTCTAACATCTCTTCTGACTTGACATAGGTTTGAAATGTTTCACGTAACACAACATTCCTGCCAAGGATAGGCTCAAAACCTTCCTCAATCACCACTTCTGTTACCTTGTTGAAATTTATAAAATCTGGGCTTTCTCTAAGTGGCTCTTCAAAAATGTGGTAAATTGCTACTCTCAAAATAAAGGCTATATAAGATCTTAAAAATTCTTCGTATGTTGAGAAATGCAATATAAGGCCGTCATCAGCATCCTGTTGTTTTTCAAGGTATATTCTTAGAAGGGCTTGAGAAGGAGTGTCTTGTAGACATACAGACCCATTTTCTTCTTCTTCAAAATGAGAAATTAATCTAGTGGTTTCAGATGAGTCCCGTTTTGTCCTTGGGTGAATTCCATCATCAAGGATAGAACTTTCTGTATTAAATTGTAAAAGGCTATTAGATCAGATATGAATACAAAGGTGTTTTTATCATTAACTAGATGTTGTAGAGCCAGCATGGTAAATGGGTCTGTCACGGGCAGAGACTTTGTGCACATAGAGGGAGTTCTAAAGCCACATTTGGTACGAGTAGAGAAAAAAAAAAAACTGCCCAAAGGATTGGTTATGTCTTCCCTGGACATAAAAAGGGACACTAGTAGCAGATGAACTAAATATTTCACATCACTAATACAGAGATCTTCAAAAAGATATTATGCACTTTAAAAATGTAATATTTTAGGGTGATGTAATATATAAAAGCGAAATCTATTAAACATTAGAATATGTACATTAAGCAACTGTATGTATTCTAATATTTCATGCCGTATGATAAAATAAAACTAGCTACCATTAATGATAAGACAGTCAATGAACAGATCAGAACTGGGGTCATATCAGTCATTTTTAAAAATTCACCGTTTTGAGGGCACCTGGGTGGTTCAGTCTGTTGAGTATCTGACTCTTGATATCAGCTCAGGTCATGGTCTCAGTCATGGGATCGAGCCCCACTAAGCATAGAACTTGCCTGGGATTCCCTCTCTCCCTTGCTCTCTGCCCCTCCCCACTTGTGTGTTTACTCTCTCTCCTTCCCACCCTCTCTCTAAATAAATAAATAAATAAACATTTTTAAAAATTCACTATTTTATCAGAAAGATTCAATTACTATCATACTTATAAAGGGTTACAAATACAAATGGATTGTTTTATACTTTTTCTAAATAGTCTTTAGCTCCTATTTTCTCCTTCTTTAGAAATCAGAGAAAGAACTGATGTCAGTGCTTTATTTCCCATGGCAAATCTACCCCTTAAAATGCCATGGATCAGGAAAACTCTGTTGTCATCTGTGCCCCACCTCAATGGCCATTTTCTCAAGTCATAGTTTTCAAATCTCAGTGAACTAGAGATATTTCATTATCATTTTTATTGAAAATTAAGATACTAACTTTCTGCAATATTGAGAGATCAGACTTTCATAAGCCTACGAAAGGACACAGGGTGTACACTCAACCCCACAGAAGTGGAGGGCAAGGGCAAGGCTAGCATTTCTGTTCACCATCTTCCTGCTACCCTTTCTCTTCCTGTTTACCGTCTTCGCCATCTTTGCTCTCCAATCTTCTACTTTACTATTTGGGGGAAACAGCAAGAAACCTATAAATTCAGCTATGTTCAAATTAAGGAGATGATTTTCCTCTTTGCCTAGATTTAGGTTCCATTCTAAAGAATCCAGATTTATTGTCCCCCAGAGGCTGCTTACTTACACTCTTCCAAATAATTAGTTAACAACTATTAGGGAACTGCTATGTTCCTCTCCTGAATCATGTTGTTAGATATTTTTTTTTCTCTAGCAATATCATGTTAATGACCCCATTTCTGAAAAGTTGGTATCATTCACAAAAGTTCCCCATGGTAGAAATACTTTTCAAGGAGAAAAACAGTCTCAACTTAAAAACAAAAAGAAAATTCAAGTTGTATGTATGACTATACACTTTCAAGAGGAAAGAAAATTTGCACCCACTTAATTTCAAAGGCTTAATAATAAGAATTTGTAAATTGTCATAGGACATAAAGACAAAACAAACATTTACTGACTGCCTATGAAGTACCAGGCACTAGGCCAGGCCTTTTCTATACATTTAGTATGTCACGATTCTAATCTTACAGATGAGAAAAGACTCTCAGAAGTGGAATAACTTTAAAAAAGCCACACAGCTACTATGTATTACCCATCTAACCCATCTTCTTTCTGCTATGACAAGCTACCTCTAAAAAACCAGCAGAAAGTGAAGTGAGTGGGGAGATGGGGATGGAGATGATTTTTCTCTCCACCACTAAATGTAGTGTAATAAAATTAGAACAATGAAAAAAGATTTATTTTTATTTTTTTAAAAAATTTTAAGCATCTATTTATTATTGAGAAATAGAGTGAGACAGAGCATGAACAGGGGAGGGACAGAGAGAAGGGGAGACACAGAATCCGAAGCAGGCTCCAGGCTCTGAGCTATCAGCACAGAGCCAGACACAGGGCTTGAACCCACCAACTTCGAGAACATGACCCTTAACCGACTGAGCCACCCAGACACCCCTATAACAATAAAAAAAGATTTAAAGAGGAGTTCTGAGGGTAGCCTGGGTGGCTCAATCAGTTAAGTATCTGACTCTTGATTTCAGCTCAGGTAATGACCTTGCAGTTCATGGGATTCTCTCCCTCTGTCTCTGCCCCTCACTTAAGCTCTCACTATCAAAATAAATAAGTAAACTTAAAGAAAAAAGAGTTCTGAAATCATTCTTGTCCTTTCTGCTTACCAGAAACAGATGAAATAACTGGTAGTTCAGTTTTGCTGTGGAGTACACAAGATGGTAATGAAAACGTTGATACTGTTTGCAGACTTTGTTTTGCCAATGCAAACCAATCTTTCGTTTGAGTATAGGTGGCCTAGGAGGAAAGGAGCACCTTTGTTTAATGTAAAATTAGCAGTATTCTTCCAATCACAGACCTTGACATACCATTAGGATAATATTAGATGTGCATAATACAATATAAAAGGAAAAATTATGCCATCAAAGAAAAGAATGCTGTCCACAGAAAAAATTCATTATCTGAGAATAATGGGAAGGAATTTTTATTCAGATTATTTGCATAATTAGGTCACCAGAAGAAAACAATAAGCCCAATATCCATCAAATTCTCTACTCTCCCACCAGAGGCATGCAACCCCACTTCCTGAATTCATTAGAGATTCATGCCCTCCAGCTGTATCCTGGGTAGTCACGTGGCTCATCAGTCCTTGGCTACATCTTTTGCCAGCTACTCCCATTTACAACTTCCCAATTATTTCACGCCCCTAATTCTGTCTGATCTGGCTCAGTGTTTTTTACAAGGCCTCCCTAATATGAAAGACTTATTCTCAGGAGGACTGAAAACCTCTCCAAGCTCAACTGCCCCTTTGCCTTAGAGTCAGTTTTCACAGCTTTGCTTGGATTGTATGCTTCTCAAAGACTGATTCCTAATTCCAGCGGTCTCTGGATACAGCCTTCAATGTTTCCTTTGACTTTGTGTACCTCAAGCCAGCTGACTAATTCCCAAACTGACCCTCAGCTTCCAGAACCCCAGGCCTGAGAAGCTGTTATCTCAGCTTTCCTGGGAAAATTCTTCTGCCTGCTTCTCTCAATAATGCCCTCATGATTTTTCTAAAACAATCCCAATTGTTCAACAGAAGCAGAGAAGGGAGTGTCCAGTATTACTTTCTTTTTTTTAAATGTTTTATTTATTTCTAGGAGAGAGAGAGAGCGTGAGCAGGGGAGGGTCAGAGAGAGAGGGAGTCACAGACTGAAACAGGCTCCAGGCTCCGAGCTGGCAGTCAGCACAGAGCCCGACGCGGGGCTCGAACCCACGAACTGCGAGATCATGACCTAAGCGAAAGTCAACGCTTAACCGACTAAGCCACCCAGGCGCCCCCAGTATTACTTTCATTTCTCCTTTCTCCAATCTAGTCAGAGCTGGTTGGCCCTTAGCCTCAGGAATACTCACAAAAAAGGCAAGGCTCAAATGGAAGAGGTATTGTTCCCTAATAGGCAGGGCAAGGCAGGCCACACAAAGAGACCAAAAAAATGAGAGAGAGAGAAGTGACAAGTGCCACCTATATATATAGTCACTGCCCCTCTTAGACATAAGGTTTCCTAGGTGGATAAAAGCTTTGACAGACTCTAATTGCCTTTGTCCCCTCTTTTCCTTCCTTTAAAACCAAGTTATTTATTATTAATTATATATTCATTTAATATATATTTATTGAGTGACTGCTGTATTCCAAGCACTATATTTCCAAGCACTGAGACAAGGTCAAAATAATGAAGAAACTGTCAGGGAATTGAGAGAGACCAACACATAACAATCCTTGTTATTTCAATTGCACAGAAAAGATGGCAGAGTAAAAATAAAGAGAGAAAGAAGTCAGTCACACATTAAAACAGTCACACACATATAGTCCACTTAATATTCTTAAAGAGATGAGTCCATTGTGTTTAGATGGTATAAATGAGGACTCAAAGAAATTAATGATCATAAAGATGAATTATCATCATAAAGATTCATCTTTGTCTATAGTCATGATTGAAATGATTTAAGGATCCAAAGAAATTTGAATCCTCAAAGTTCAGAAGCTATTAAGAAGATTTTAGATAAAGTATTCATCAAGTAGGCAGAAACGAGTTTTCTTTTCATCACAGAAAACAGTAAAAGTAAAATAGCTTAAATTTTACTCTCACATTTGATTTAATTTACATGTAAGGAATCAAATCTTATTTCCCTAGATTGATTCTTCCTGTTGTATGTTTACTGACTGACCTATACTATGAGAACATATTTTTAAGACACTCCTGGCATTTCTATAACACACAAATTAAAAGAAAAAATACTTAAAAATAAGTATAAGAGAGAAGAAAAATACGCTTTTAGTATATCCCTAGCATTGGTCAGTGGAAATAATGCAACTGGCAAATTTCAAACATTTTTTTTGCCAAATACTACTGATAAAAATGCCAAACTACAGAATTAAATAGGAACTATACATGAAAAAAAAAAAAGGTCAAGTAAGATAGAATAAGTCCATCTATTCCAACAGAGATGGCATATAGTTTTCCTCATGTATGACATCTTTGATCAATTGAAAGTGCTTGCCCAGAGTGCTGGGTTGAAAAGAATTTGAAGCCAAGTCCCAGCTCAGCAGGAAAATTCCATAATTGATTAGCAATGTCTGTGATGAATGGAATCTAGGAGAACAGCAACACATGGGCCACATATTTGCAATTCCTGGTTTTGTATAGAATTATGCATAGGAAGTGTGTTCCCAGAAAGATGAGCTGATAATTAGAGGCCAGAGACCAAAGGACAGTTTTTACTACACCGTGACTCTCCAAAAAGACATTTGATTCGAGGTTAGATCTCTTTTAAACTTCTACAGCACTCATACAATGCAACATTTCTGACAAAATTATCTGATAATGGTTACACAGGAATGCATTTTGCTAATGAGGAATAATTTTGACAAGCGGGAGGAGAAGACCCAAATTATCATTATTTTGTACAAAAATTATAGACTCCAAATGATGAAAATTTTGGAATGAACAATGAAACCATGGATATAATTCAAGTAACCCTTCCTTGCTTCCCAGGCGACAGTGAGCATGTTCTTCAATCTCGCATTTGTTCCTCTGCACGCATGGGGATGATAATACCAATTACATATCAGGTGAAGGAAGGCAAAGCAAATGAGTCAGCATAAATCCACAAAAGGTTTTGCTAAATCTGTTTTAGAAGTACTTGAAATCCTTTCCCCTGTTCAAGTGGTACAAATGAAATTCCTATCCCTAAGATGAGAAGTCTCCTTAAAGTGCCAAATCATGAAGAAACACTCATACTTTTACCTCACCAAGAGAAATGTAGAACTTTTTCATAATTATAACATTTTCTTCTTCAGTGTCAGGTGGTGGTGGACTGGGTGGTTTCTTCAGGACCCAGGGGGAAAAATCTGCATCGAGTGTAAGATTCGTGCCTGATCTGCTCCATCGTACTTGTGAGACCAATTTGGCTAATCTGCATTTTAGAAATCATACAAACTTGAAATATGTTTCAAATATGGTGGAATTCAGAAAAAAAAACCCCTACAATGTTATTTTATGTATTCAAACCAATCTCCTAACTCTGCACAATGATTCTCTTATTGATTCTCTTAGGATCTGCTAAAATTAATGGCTTATCCACAGAACTAATTAATAATTATTCTGTTATAATTTATTTTATTTTGATTTTCAAAATGATGGTTCTAAGTATAGGTCAGATTTGACTTAAATTTCAGAATGTTTAGGTACTTACACATTAAAAGTCCAGGAACATAAAAGAAAAATTTGGCCCACTCTGACATTCTTTTTCATGACACACTTGTAGTTTTAAACAGCCTGCACATAAATACCATTATCACAAGTAGATAATTTTAAAAACATACTGATCAAAGAAGCACAACTAAAATACATTTATTAGGTACTGTTTCTATGAGATCTCTTTGGAAAAGTTAAGTGATTTTTACAAATGCTCTATCACTTGCATACCATAGCAGGTAGGATATAAACACCGGTAGGTTTAAAGGTATACAATTCTATTAAGAAAGTACAGAAAAAAATGATTCGAGGTGAAAAAAACTCAGGCAATTAACAGATATGTTTTTTGATGGGACTACAATACCTGTATTCAAAGTAGCAATCACTTTCCAGAAATGCTGGAAGTCTTTCTTTTTTGATCCACTTAATACCTTGTTCACGGCTGAGACACTATGAGGGTACAAGTGAAAAAGAAAATGAGTCAAAGAAAGTCACCTTTCAAGACAACGAAGGACTAGTCAATAGAGCAATAATGACCTCAGCTTTTTCTAAGAGCCCTGCTTCTACCTTCTGTTCGCACAAGAGAGAGCAAGGACCTCCGAGTCACACATTTGAAGCCACTGCTTGCTTTCTGGTATTTCTTTAATTCTCTCAACAATCCTGCATCAACTAGTAGCCCCACTTCACAGATTAACAAATTGAATTCAGAGAAGTTAAGTAAGGTATTAGAGGAGAAGGCATGAGAAAAAAAGTCACTCAGTATTTTCAGTCATAGAATGGGTTAAAAGTAATCACAAACAGGAAAAGAGCTAACCAGAGTCTTGATGAGCCCACTATGATCACTACAGGCCCCTGGTCCTTCCAATTTTAAAAACTTTGGTTAAATATTTACCATCCCCAGGCACTATCCTGGGGATACCAAGGTTAGCAAGAAAGCCCTGCCTTGAAGGAGTTTCCAGGTAATTCAGTAAGCAAAAATAACAGAGCACTATAACTGCCATAAGTTCAGGCTTCTGTGGGAGGGCACATAGGCACAAAAACCAGCAAAGGCTTCCCACAGAATATGCCACTCACTCTTTCACCTGACGCATGATTAGCCTGGTGAAGGGACATGGGCAGGAGATAAGTTTAGTATGACTAGATCACAGGGTGAGATTTGAGGAATGGAGGGAAGCTCTGAGGTTGTGAGGGCCATGCAAACTCAAGGAAGAGTTACTGAGTTGCTGCTCATCCTAAAATATTTACTCACTATTGATTCTCTTCTGTCTTATATTCAGTTTTCCGGAATTCTACAGAAGGTCAGTACTTTGAACACGAAACCAATGCTACTGGATAAGTAAAACAACCAGTAAGGTGCACATCTCAGTGAGGCAAGGGTGTCTGCGTTTATGTGACTTCCACTGACCATCTGCTGAAGCAACAAGGTGTGCTGTGATATTAACATCAGTCAACACAGACCATTGCTAACTCCAGTGAGGAGGTTAAAGGCTCACATGGTAGTACTGCCGACATCTGATGAGCTGACGTTCCTGAGCGTCCACCAGTGCTCAACACTGCCTGGCATGTGGCATGAAGTCATTAGGTTCACTAATGACTGAGGGAACCATTCAGCCAAAAGCATTCATTTGCCCTTACCCAAAACTATCCTCTGGGTAATGAAAAATAGGAGAAACTTTGGAAGCAGCAGAACCTGAAAGGTAACATCTTGTGGATGGTCTTATTGTTTGAGTGAGATTTGAAGGACACTTGGATCTTGTACTTAGAAAAACTCTAAATATGTCTCCACATATGCTACACACTGACAACCATACAGGACTCTTGAATTTTCATTAGCAATGCATTCAGTGTATCACAGAAAGGCACCAGACTACATATAAAGATCGATACACACCCTTGAAGAATCCTACAAGATTGTCAAGGTTAGTCAGTCACACATAATCAATTTGCCTAATATTTACTTACTGAACAGTTCACTGATAACCCACCCCCTTTTGAATATCTTTGCATCTATCTGACCCAAAAATGAAATGAAATGCAAAGTTTAAAAGGAATAAAATAAAAATTGAAGAAAAGTCTTTTAGTCAAACTGCCAGAAAGTTCCTTTAAGGTGTTTACAAATAAGTAAAAAATATAAAGACAAAAAATACAGAGGTGCCTGGGTGGTTCAGTCGGTTAAGCATCTGACTTCAGCCCATATCATGATCTCGCAGTTTATGGGCTCAAGCTGTGCTGACAGCTCAGAGCCTGGAGCCTGTTTCAGATTCTGTGTCTCCCTCTCTCTCTGCCCTTCCCTCGCTCATGCTCTGTCTCTCTCTCAAAAATAAACATTTAAAGTTTTTTAATAAAATAAAGACAAAATAATACAGAACAATCTTGTCAGACATAAAATGACAACTTAATACTTACCAAAAAAACACAAAAATGATTTACCTAAGATAAAATTACTTAATCCTTAAAACTAAAAAAAAAATACATACAGTAATATCCATTCTTTTTAGTAAACAGTTCTATAAGGTTCTGACAAATATTTAAGTCATATAACCATGACTACAGTGAAGATATAGAATAGTTCCAATTTTCTCCAAACTTCTTCAGGCTACTTTGCATTCAGTGACACCCTCTAACCCCAGGCCTGGCAACCACAGATTGGTTCTCCACAGTTTTGCCTTTTCCAAAGTGGCATACAACTGATATCAATAGAGTATGTAGCTTCCTTCATTCAGCATCATCATTTGAGATTGACCCATGTTCTTAGATGGATCACTAGTTCCTTCCTCTTCATTCCTCTTCAGTTGAGTACCACTCCACTGTATGGATGAACCACACTTTGCTACTCCCCACTTAAAAGAAACTTGGTTTTCTTATAGCTTTTGGTGATTGTAAATAAAGGAACTACAGACTTTCACATAGAGGTTTTTATGTGAACAGAACAGACTGTTCACGTCTCTTTGGTAAAATGCGAGGGTAGGATAGATGGGTAGAATGGTATACGTTTAACCTAGAAAGAACTGCCGAACTGTTTTCCAAAAGGGAATTCTCATCAACAATGTAAGAATTCCAGTTGCTCTGCATCCTGACTGGCACTTGGTATTGTCAATGTGCATTGCGTATTTTACCCATTCTAATAGGTGTGTAGAAACAGTTCATTGAGATTTGTGTATGTGTGTGTTTGCATGCACACTACCTTTTCTTTATAACAGCTTTGAGACAGAATTCCATACAATTCCATTCCATACAATTCACCCATTTAAAATGCATAATCCAATGGTTTTAGTATATTCACAAACCACAATCAAATTTAGAACATTTTCAACATCTTCCAGAAAACCTCACACATTCATACTCACTCTCCATTTCACACCTATTCCCCCACCCCCATCTCCCAATGTTGGCTGTATTTCTTTTATAATTAATGTTGAGCATCTTTTCATATGCATTTTTGTCATCTGTACATCTTCTTTGGAGATTGTCTATTCAGATCCTAAGTCCATTTTTTAAAACTGAAGTATAATTAACATAGTGTTATATTAGTTTCAGGAGTCAACAATCTATACATTATATCACAGTTTTAAATGTACTGTTAATCCTATTTCACCCATCCCTCTCCTCTGCCCCTCTGGCAACCACCAGCTTATTCTCTATAGTTAAGAGTCTGGTTTTTTTTTGTCTCTTTTTGTTGTTTTCCATTTTGTTTCTTAAATTCCATATATGAATGAAGTTATATGGCAGCTGTCTTTCTCTGACTTATTTTACTTAGCATTATACCCTCTAGGACCATTCTTATTGTTGCAAATGGCAAGATCTCAAAGATCTCATTCTTTTTTATGGCTAATATTCAGCCACAGATGTCACATCTTCTTTATCCATTTATCTATTGGTGGATAGTTGGGCTGCTTCCATACCTTGGCTACTGTAATAATGCTCCAATAAACATAAGGGTTCATATATCTTTTCAAAATAATATTTTCATTTTCTTTGGGCAAATATGCAGTAGTGGATTTCCTGGATCATATGGTAATTCTATTTCAAATTTTTTGAGGAGCCTCCATAATGTTTTCCACAGTGGCTGCACCAATTTGCATTCCCATCAACAGTGCATCAGGGTTCCTTTTTCTCCACATCCTTGCCAACACTTGCTATTTCTTGTCTTTTTGATCTTAGCCATTCTGACAGGTGTAAGGTATTATCTCATTGTAGTTTTGATTTGCATTTTCCTGAGGATTAGTGATATGAAGCATATTTCCATGTGTCTGTTGGCCATCTATAGGTCTTCTTTGGAAAAATGTATGTTCAAGTCCCCTGCCCATTTTTTATTTTAGTTTTTTCAAGCTTCTATTTAAATTCCAGTTTGTTAACATACAGTGTAATGTTAGTTTCAGGTGTAGAATTTAGTGATTCAACATTTACACACAAAACCCAGTGCTCATCACAACAAGCACACTCCTTAATCTCTGTCACCTAGTTCACGCATTTCCCCCACCTTCCCTCTGGTAACCATTAGCATGTTCTCTACAATTAAGTGTCTGTTTCTTGGTTTCCTTTTCACCTGCTATGTTCATTTGTTTCTTAAATTCCATAAATGAGTGCAATCATATGGTATTTTTATTTCTGACTGACTTATATCACTTAGCATAATACTCTCTAGCTCCATCCACATCATTGCAAATGGTAAAATTTCATTCTTTTTTATTGCTGAATAATATTCCGCTGTACATTTATACTACATCTGTACCCATTCATCAGCTGATGGACATTTGGGCTGTTTACATTATTTGGCTAATGTTGATAATGCTGCTATAAACATCAGGGTGCATGTATCCCTTTGAATCAGTTATTTTTGTGTCCTTTGGGTAAATACCTAGTAGGGCAATTGCTGAATCAGAGGGTAGTTCTATTTTTAGCTTTCTGAGGAAGCTCCATACTATTTTTCAGAGTCCTCTGCCTATTTTTAAAAAATTTTTAATGTTTATTTATTTTTGAGAGGAGGGAGGCATAGGGAGACACAGAATCTGAAGCAGGTTCCAGGCTTCGAGCTGTCAGCAGAGAGCCTAATGCAGGCCTCAAACTCACAAGCTATGAGATCATGACCTGAGCTGAAATTGGATGCTTAACCAACTAAGTCACCTAGTTGCCCCGTCTGCCCATTTTTTAATCAGATTGTTTATTTGGTGTTGAGCTGTATAAGTTCTTTATACATTTTGGATATTGACCTCTTACTGGATATACTATTTGCAGGTATCTTCTCCCATTCAGTAGGTTGCCTTTTTGTTTTGTGGTTACCCTCACTGTGCAAAAGCTTTTTATTTTGGTGTAATCCTACTAGTTTAATATTGTTTTGTTTTCCTTGCTTGAGGAGACATACATAGAAAAATGTTTCCATGGCTAATGTCAAAGAAATTACTGCCTATATTTTCTTTTTTTTTTTTTCATGTTTTATTTATTTCTGAGAG